TCCTATTCTTTCCCCCATAAAACTGAGTGTCCTCTGGGCCCAAGCTAGACTCGAGAATTGGGCCCAGGGCCAAGGACTGCTGTTGGGTTCAGAGTTGGAGATCGCACAACTTTCTCAGGCAGGGTCACCTGGACTATAGCAGGTAGGTCCTGTGTTCTGTGAAGCCACTGACCCCTGTAGCCTGAGACTCACTTGCACAACCACCATTGGCCATGACCGAGTTTGAATCTAGAGATGATGGTGACTGGCAACTTCTGGAGTATTCCTATCAAGGGGAAAAAGTGTTCTCATAGGGCTTGCTTGATGAAAAGCAGCTTGCCCAATGTGTTTAAAATTCACTGTTGTCAAGTCAATTCTGACTCATAATGACTACAAAACAGGGTAGAACTGCCCCTGTGGGTTTCTGAGACTGCAAATCTTTACAGGAGTAGAAAGCCTCATCTTCCACAAAGCAGCTGGTGGTTTGGAACTGCTGAACTTGTGTTCGGCAGTCCAGCGTGTACCCCACTACGCCACCAGGACTCTTGAAGGTTAAAGAGACACACAGAAAGCAAAGGCTGCACATGGAAGAAGCACACCATCATCAGTCACAGAAGGATTGTAAATCATATAATCCAAAGTCAAAGGAGGGATTCATATCAGAGCCTAAATTGTGAGAATCCGGTTTGCAGAAGGCTATAGATGACAGGGGAGCTCAAGATACATTTGTAGGGGCTCCATAGGAAATAAGCCTCTGGTGAACTCCCTCTAACCACAGTTGAGGGGTAGGCGGAAAGTTACTAAACAGAGTACATTGGGGAGATGACTATAGAGGATCAAAGGCGTGAATATGACTTGAGCAGTGAAAACCTTGGCTGTTGGTCCCCCTTCAGAGACATGCGGGACCTGACTTGGTTTTCGACGTTTTCTGTATTTTTGTTTTTGTTTGTTCATATAAGGGTGTATCTCAGAGGTGCTATGTCATTGGAGATCACCCACTTGAAGTTGTATTACATGATTACATGTTTTTCTGTGTTTTGGTATATGAAACCCAAGACTGATGGGGACAGCCAGTAGAACAAGGGTTTCAGGGGGTGGAGGGGGAGGTGGAGAAAGAGAGATGATGTCAAGGAGCCCAGGAAAAAAAAGAACGTTTGGAAATTGATTGTGGTGGCAATTATACAATTCTGTTTGACGTGACTGAGCCATGTGCAGCCTGGTGATTACTAACTGTAGTCCATGATGCTTATTGCATTTGAAAATAACTGATTTGTGTATCACTTAATGATAAGAAAAGGTTATGAGTTTGTACAGACCATCAGAATACAAGAATGGAATCATCAAGGAGTAAAAACGTCTGCTATTGGGTCGCTATGAGTCAGAATCAACCCAATGGCGGTGAGTTTGGTTTGACGTGTTGGTAAATTGTACAAGTAACTACTTCTCTTAAAGGTCAAAATCATTTGTAATCACGAGGGGTGGAAAGTTACGTACTACGCGCCTGGGGCTGGCCAACAAGAGTAAGGCTGAAAACCTGGAAGTCTCCTCAAGTAACTATGCATGGCGGCACAGGGCCCCAGACCCGCTCAATCAATCTGCCTATTAACCTGACCGCCAGCGGAGTGGATGGGACATTTCTGTTTAAGCGGCCTGGCTCTAATACACAAATGCTGAGTGCGGCTGAAGGGTTGGTACTTTTGACTTCTAACCCTTTCCACTAACAGTGATCTACTTGGTATTACAGGTGTCTCTATTAAGCACACTTGTACTTTAAAATTGCCATTAAAATTTCCAAAGCAATTTCTACTTGAACCCTTGGTATCAGTTGCTCTTTTTCCCCCTCTCTCCCCCACTCTCCCTCTCTCGCGAATCCTTGATCAATTATCAGACAATTCTAACCCAGCATTTTTTAAATGGGGTTCTCTGACCACTAGTGCGCATGGTTCCCGGCATTCACTGGGGTACTTGGGCTGCACAAGGGCTGATGGGACTTGAAGTCTGAGGCTGGTTGCCGTATTAATAGCCAGGAAGTCAACCAAAATCAACACTGCCCTTTTTAGTTGCAGTGACAGCAGCTTCTAGTGAGCAAGTCAAGTGGTGGTGCCAGTCTAGCCAAAGGTTTTACTCCACTTTGGCCAACTCGGTTCCAATGTCAGACTCTCCTTACGCTCAAAAGTGGTGACTTCTTTAGCCAAGTAGGAAAGCTCCATAGATGCTTTTTGAAAAGCTAAGGTAGAAAAACCTATTTTCAGAGGAAAGGCAGCAGTCAAACCCTGGCTTAATTATAATCGGGACAGGTTCTCCTAATAAACATTGTGAAGACCCCCGTGGGGTAGGTCTACTCCAACCTATCATGTGACTGTGGGTCTGAATGGACTGGATGCAATAGGTCATACCCCCCCACCCCCAAAAAGATCACATCCAGTGTGCACTGTTTTATTTCTATCTTGACTGCTTTGGAGTTAAAAAAACATGGCTCTGATTGTACTTCTATAACTTAAATAATTTGATACGTTGTTAATAATAAGATGAGATTCCCCCAGTTGTAAAGAAAAGGTAAACTTTTTTTTTCAATTATAAAAAGGAGGTGAATTTAATTTTAGCAAATGTATTATAAGTGTTTTAAAATATTAGTGATAGAAGGCAGGTTAACCATATATATGATAGAAATGTTGACATGTTTTATAATGTCTTATTATGAGTAAGATGGAACTTTTTAATGAATGATGGCTTCCAAAAATTACATTGTTATAACAATACACAGCAGGTCTTCTAAGGCTGATATGGGGAATTCCCCTCCCCCAAGCTGTATTGTTGTTATTAGATGCCAGCAAGTAGGTTCAGACTCATAGCGACCCCACATCAAAAAAACACTCAAACTCACAGCCATCTGATCGAAGTAGAAAGCCCTTTCTTTCTCCCGAGACCTCACACACCACAGCAGAAAACAGTTGCCCGATCCTGTGCCGTTTTCACAGCCATGACTGATCCTGTCGTTGCAGCCGCTGTGTGAACCCATCTCATTGAGGGCCTTCCTCTCTTTGGCTGACCCAGTCCCAAGCAGGATGTCCTTTTCTTTCTTACTTTTAAATCATTTTATTGGGGGTTCACACAACTCTTACCATAATCCATACATCCATCCATTTTGTCAAGCACTGTTGTACATTTGTTGCCGTCATCATTTACAAAACATTTGCTTTCTACTTGAGCCCTTGGTATCAGCTCCTCATTTTGTCCCCTGCCTCCCCACTCCCCCTCCTTCACGAACCCTTGATAATTTATAAACTATTATTTTGTCATATCTTACATCATCCAACGTTTCCCTTCACCCACTTTTCTGTTGTCCATCCCCCAGAGAGGAGGTTATATGTAGACATCCTTGTAATCAGTTCCCTCTTTCTACCCCATCCTCCCTCCACCCTCCAGGTATCGCCATTCTCACCGCTGGTCCTGAGGGGATCATCTGTCCTGGATTCCCTGTTTCCGGTTCCTATCTGTACCTGTGTACATCCTTTGGTCTAGCCAGATTTGTAAGGTAGAATTGGGATCATGATAATGGGGGGTGGAGGAAGCATTTAAAAACTAGAGGAAAGTTGTATGTTTCATCATTGCTACACTGCACCTTGACTGGCTTGTCTTCTTGACCCTTCTGTAAGTTGCCTACCTATAGATAGGCTTTGGGTCCCCACTCCGCACCATCCCTCATTCTCAATGATTTGATTTTTTTTTTCTTTGATGCCTGATACGGGATCATCTCGTGATCACTCAGGCTGGTATGCTTCCATGTGAGCTTTGTTGATTCTGAGCTAGATGGCCACTTGTTTACCTTCAAGCCTAAGACCCCCGGATGCTATACCTTTTGATAGCCAGGCACCATCAGCTTTCACCACACTTGCTTGCATCCGATCAGCAATCACTTCGTTGCTTTCCTAAGAACTAGTCTCTCCTAATATTGCCCAAGATCTCATCATCCTTTCTAAAGAGCATTCTGTTTACTTGCCACCAAATCGATTAGGGATCTAACACCAACAACACTGCTTGCAAGCTGATACTACTGTGCAATAAGGGTATTGCACAGTAGTATCAGCTTACAGATGG